GGGGGGGAGAGAAAAACATTGATGTGAGACAGAAACATCAATCAGCGGCCTCCAGCATCTACCCTAGCTGGGGAATCAAACCTGCAACCTGGGCATGTGCCCAGACCAGGAATTGAAACCGGCAACCTCTCAGTGCATGGGACTATGCTCAACCAACTGAGCATAGGGCATACGTGTAGTGAAATACATGGTTCTTAGGTGTGTAGTGTGATGAGCACCTCCCCCGCCCCACCCCCATATATTTTTATTGATTTCAGAGAGGAAGGGAGGAGAGAGATAGACACGTCAATGATGAGAGAGAATCATGGATTGGCTGCCTCCTGCATGTCCCCTGCTGGGGGTTGAGCCTGCAACCCGGGCATGTGCCCTTGACTGGAATCTAACCTGGAACCCTTCAGTCTGCAGGTCAGTGCTCTATCCACTGAGCCAAATTGGCTAGGACAATGCGATGCGTTTTTAGATGCATTTAAACATGCAATTCACACCCCAATCAAGATATAGAACATTTCATCACCTCAGAAGGCCCCTTGGTGACCTTCCCACATCCTCCTCTCATATCTTACCATTTTTTTCTGCTTTTTTCCCCCTCCAACATGGATGCATTTTGCCTGTTCTAGAACTTCATATAAGTGAAATCATATAGAACCTAGTCCAGTGAGGGCGAACCTTTTGAGCTCAGTGTGTCAGCATTTTGAAAAACCCTAACTTAACTCTGGTGCCGTGTCACATATAGAAATTTTTTGATATTTGCAACCATAGTCAAACAAAGATTTATATTTTTGATATTTATTTTCTATATTTAAATGCCATTTAACAAAGAAAAATCCACCAAAAAAATGAGTTCACGTGTCACCTCTGACACGCGTGTCATCGGTTCGCCATCACTGGCCTAGTCTTTTGTGTCTGACTTCCTTTTGCTCCGTGTTTGAGATTCATTATTTTGTTACATGTATCAGCAATCATTCCATCTTATTGCCAAGGAGTATTTATTATATACCTTAATTTGTTTATTCATTTACCTGTTGATGGGCATTTGGGTTATTTATCATTTTTGGCTCTAATGAAACATTTTGGCAATATTCTCTTCCTTTGGCTTTTTTATTGTGGTACAATATATATAATAAAATTTGCCACCTTGAGCACTTGAAATGTACAATTCGGTGGCATTCATTACATGTAAAATGTTGTGCCACCATTACCAATATCTATTTCCAGAAAAACTGTCATCATCTCAAACAGAAACTCTTTCATTTCTCCTCTCCGCAGTCCCTGGTAACCTCTACTCTGCTTTCTGTTCCTATGAACTTGTCTATTCTAGACGACTGATGTGAGTGGTATCATACAATATTCATTTCACTTAGCATAATGTTTTCCAGTTCACCCATGTTGTACATGCCTCAGAACTCGGTCCCTTTTTATGGATTGATAGCATTGCATTGTGGATTTGCACCACATTCTGTTAATCCAGTCACCTGTCGATGGACACCTGGGTTGTTTACGCCTTTGGCTCTTGTGAACAATGCTGCAATGACCACTGATGTACAAATATCTATCAGAAGGCCTGTGTGTAATTATTCTGGTATATTTCTAGGAGGGTAATCGCAGGGCCGTCTGTCTGTGAACATCCTCATATAGTCTTTGCATGTACATCTGTTTCATCTAGCGTGAGTCAAGGTGTAGAGGTGGAATGGCTGGGTCAGAGGGCAGATGTATGCTTACCTCCATGAAAAAGTGTCAACTTAAGTTTCAGTGATCGGGCCGTTTTGTACCCCCACAAACAATGTGTGAAGCGCCGTTGCCCCACACCCTCATGCACATTGGGTGTGGTCTTCCCCACAACACGCCCTTTCTGTGCCAAGTGATTAGTGTGATTTTTAACATCTCACTATCTTGCTCAATAGATATTAATCTTTATTGTTAAAAATTGAGATATAATCAACATATAATACTATGTTAGTTTCAGGTCTACAACGTAAGGATCTGGTATTTGTATATATTGTGAAATGTTCACCACTAAGCATTTATCAGCATACCAGTACGTGGTCACACTTTTTTTTTTCTTGGAAGGTGAACTTTTACTCTCTTAGCAATTGCCAAACATACAATACAGTATCATGAACCATAAATACCATTATATCCTCGGGACTTACTTAGAACTAGAAGTTTGTATGTTTTGACCACCTCCACCCACCACCAATCTGTTCTCTCTTTCGATGAGTTTGGTTTTTTGTGTGTATCTGTTTTCTTTTTAGATTCCACATGTAAGTGAGATCTTGCCTTTTTAATTGTCATCATTTTGATGCCATTATCTTGTACTTTTAATATAGAATTCCCTCATGACTTATGAGGGAATTCTATATCCTGTTCACATATTGTGCCATTTGAAAAACTGTATTGCTTTATTATTATGGAAGCAGTTGTTGCTACAATAAGGAGCTCACAGATAGACCCACATGTGTACGGTCAGTTGATTTCTGACCAAAGTGCCAAAGCAATTCAATGGGGGAAAAAATTTTCCCCCCACAAATTGATCTGAAACAGTGGAACCTCAACCCAGCTCATTTGAGATGAATTATAGACCTAAATGTAAACACTAAAAACGATAAAACTCCTAGAAGAAAACAAGAGGGCGTCTCCATGACCTCGGAGGAAGCAGAGTCCCTGAAGAAGACACAGAAAGCAGTCACTTTCACGCAGGAACTCTGGGCCGGGGCTTGGCTTGCCATGTACCCTTCACAGATCCCACCAATAGGAAGACAGTGGGACCTGCTTGGGGGTTCTTCACATGGGACCCCTCAGGCCTGGGT